CCTGGAGTCAGGTGGGGTGGGCCAGTGGCATGCTCTTCGGTGCAGCATCTCCATGCTAAAGAGGGGGGCAGCTGCTGGCTACACTGCCAAATTTGAGGCAAGCCAGCCTTGCGGCCGCCCTCCACATTTGCACACAAGCTAAGAGCACTAGCTCTGAGCGATGCTTGGGGAGGCATCACATGGAGCAGCACGGCACAGGATACACCCCGAGTGACTGTCTCCCTGCTTCCCTGATGCACAGGACCCTTTTCTCACGCACACACTTATGGCAGCCATAAATTTTAAAGACAGTTGGATATTGGAGGGTGCATGGGACAGGTGTCTTGGGGCTGCGCAGGGTAAGCACAAAGGAATAAATCAACAGAGGCCAATGGAAGTAACTCGGATCCATCTCTCTGATTTCTACCATACCAGGCACATTATGAGTGTGACAGGACCAGCTCCCCTGTTTCTGCTCCCTGCCAGGGGGTTGCAGCACGCAGGAGGCTCTGTCACTGCTTTCAGCCTCACCCCATGAGGGTAAGTCACTGCTTCCCCCAACAGGAAGGAGATGGGACACCTGGAGCAGGTCCCTTTTGTGCTGTGCAAGGGGACTGGCCCACGGGATGCGCTGTCAGGCCCCTGTGGCCAGCTGTGCTACAATGCATGGGTCGTGAAAGCCAGTTGCAGGTCCACCCAGAGCCTGGCCAGCCCCTCTGATCAACAGCCCCAGGGAGCAAGGCAGCCTCCCTGCAACATCCACCAATTTACAGCTGAGAATCTGGGCTAGGGCCTATGGTGAACAGCAGCATTTCCAGTGCACGGGGCTGGCAGGGACAGGAGGCTTTTCCAATGGAGAGCAGGGCAAGATGTGGCAAGGCTTCCTCTGCTCTGTCTTTATAGGCTCCTCCAACAAGCATCCTTCTCAACCCTGCTCCCATCCCTTCCCCTCTCCAGGGGCCAGAGGCAGCAAGAAAAGCCCCTCTCCCTGCCAGAGCTGCTCAAAGCAGGCCCTCACCGTCCAGGAGCTGGTGTCCCCTTGTGACACTGCTCCCTGCCTCACCAAGGGGTTAAATCCTGCTCCCCTGCAGCCACATTCCTGTGTCTGCGGGGGGAAATAGGATCTGGGTAGTGCTGGCCTGGCTCGTTACCCTCTGCCCGCTGGTCTTGCAGGGCTCGATGACAA